TGCCGCCCGATCCTCTCCCTGCCACGTCAGATCTCCTTGCTGAGTCATCCCTCCACGTGTTTTGCCTCACTTTGTTATACGGGCTCGTTATTGGCCGCTACACCGATGCTAGGGTTCTAACGTTCATGTGTTGGGCTCTCGACGAACAATGCCGAGCGTCCCGTCCATTGCTGAGGAGACCGTCTGCGAGATCAATCGCGATTTCCTCACTCGCGCCCAGCAGCAGCAGCCGCAGCAGCAGGGCGGCGATGTTTCATCCAAGGCGCATGAGCAGTACAACAAGGTCCTCAACAGAGTCTTCCCCAAGCTGCTGTTCAAGGTTGGAACGATCCCGATCGCCGACGACAATGGCAGCAATGGGATTGCTGCGCAGATGGATATTTCGGCGCCAGGAGGATCTCTCGAGGGGGAGGAAGAGGATCTGGTTAGGGCGACTGCAGCAGCGGTGGAAGAAACCCTAGACGAGGCCCTCGGCGAGCCTCTGTCGGCGCTCCAGCGCCTCGGATCTCTCTTCTACAGGGGCGAGAAGCGCGATTCCAGCAGCGCCAGGCCGAAATTTCTCCAGTCCATGGCCTGGCACAAGCACAAGCTCCTCCTCGCATTCGTCGCCAATCCAGCGCACGTCCTAGTGGTGGATTACGACGACGCCGACGCCAAGAATCCCTTTCTTCTTGGCCATGAAACCCAGCAGCGCGGCGTGGAAGCGATCGAGTGGAGACCAAACTCGGGCTCGATTCTGGCCGTTGGATGCCGCGGTGGAGTTTGCCTGTGGACGGCATCCGGTGCCACGCCACCTTTGAGGACCGGGGCTGTGGTGCCTCTCGTCTCAGCGGCTACGAAATGGAGCCTGGTGGATTTTTTGCGCTGGGGGATCGATATGCCCGTCTCGGCTCTCTCGTGGAGCCCCTGTGGAAGGCTCTTGGCGTGTGGATCGAGCGAGACGCCGACTTTCGCAGTGTGGGACGTCTCTCTCGGGGAGAGCACACCGCTGCGACGGGGAATGGCCGGCGTCCAGTTCATGAAGTGGTCGCCGCTCGGGGACTACTTGCTCACGGCCAAAGTTGACGCGTCGTTTCATCTCTGGGAGACCATGACTTGGACGTCCGAGCCGTGGGCCTCGGCTGGTGGAGCTCTCGTGGGCGCGGCGTGGAGTCCCGATGGCCGGATGATCATGGGTGCTTTTGATCAGAGCAGCACGCTCGGGACTTTACACTTTGCTGGGAAGCCTCCGTCGCTGGAGGTGCATTTGCTGCCTTTGGGACTCTCGGAGATAGAAGCGATTTGTGGACCCGGAGGAAGCATTGAGAGGATGGCTTGGGATGGAACAGGGGAAAGGTTGGCGGTGTCGTATACAGGTGGTGATGCTGTATACTCTGGTTTGATCGCCATCTACGACACGAGGAGAACACCGATCATATCAGCCTCGTTGCTGGGATTTGTGAGAGGTCCAGGTGCTGGTGCGAAGCCTCTGGCTTTCGCGTTTCATGATAAGCTCCGGCAGGGAGCTTTACTGGGCGTTTGCTGGAGCACGGGCTTCATCTGCGTCTATCCTATGCTCTTCAGGACGGGCATGTAGAGTCGTATATCATCGAGCGAAGATATGAAGGGAGGTGAGCATTCGTTTTTACTGTTTGCATCGAAACATTTTTGAAATGAGCATTTTTCAGTCCTCGTCATTCTCGTCTCCGGTTTGCCGTGCCTGGTGCTTGTCCAACTGTTCCTGCAGATTAGCAATCGTGTCTACCAGCTTTGCATACTCCTCATGAGTATGTTTTCTGGCCGTTTCTTTGATTTTCTCCCAGATAGCTTCGTCGTAAGGGACTTCTTTTGCAGCTATCTCCGTTCGCAGCAGGGTCACGGCTCCCTGAAGATCTTCCAGCTGCTGCTGTAAGGCCATTTGTTCCCGTTGAGATTGCTGATTCTGTTTGTTTGCTTCTGCAGCCTCGGCTCGAGCCCTTCGCAGTAGCTCGTTCTTCTCTGTCAACCTTAGCCTGGCATCCTCGACTTGCTTCTTTATGTCCTGGAAGTTGTCCTCTACCGCGTGTAGCTTGGACGTTACTGCCTCGCATTCTTGTTGAAGCTTGGTCAGGCCTTCCTGGTGCTCCATCACCATGGAACCGTAGCTCTCGATGTCGTCCTCTAAGTCTTTTTTTACTCTTTCAATCTTTTCTAGTGCTTCTTTCATCTGGCTCTCGGATTTCTCCATCTGCGTGATCTTTATGTGTGCGATTGTCACCTCCGTCTTGTACTGGTCCCTGAGCTTTCTGGCTTCCTTGAGATCTTCCTCGGTGCGTTCTCTTATCATCCTTTCAAAGTTAAGCTGGCCAGTCGTCGCGTTTAGCATCTGGTTCACTCTCTTTTGCACTTCCTCCTCGGTATAGAGCTCACCCAACGCTTTTGTTGCTTCAGAGAGCAGAGAGGAGATCTTTGCTTTGGGATTTATCCCGTAGAACATCTTGGTGAATGGAGAGCCGATGGAGTTTTCAGAAGGAGGCGGTGGCGTTGGTGGCGGACATAGCTGAGGTGGCGGCGCTGGCGGCGGCGGTACTGGTGCACTAAACGCGCTCTTTACTGTCGGTGCGAACAGCGGAGCAGTGGCTGGTCTGGCCAACTTCGGAGAGCTCACGGTGGTGACGACGGACGAGGGATTCGCATTAGAATTTAGCGGTTTAGGAGGTTAGGGGGTGGGGCAGCTCGTCCGACAGGATGCCACTCCGAGTATCTGCATATTTCTGTTAACGTAGCAAGCATGAAGTTCCTAACTCGCTGGTAAGTTTCTTTTCTATTGGAGATCACGAGGATATATGACGGGGTGGAACGGAGCGCTCTAGTTGGTGCATGGATCTCTGGTTTTGGCTGGTGTTCATTATGATCGTGGCGCCGACCGTTCCAGGTTCCGGTACATTCTTCTCGCAAGTTTCCATGGCTGATGTCGTAACGCTTTGCTCCAGCTGCAGGGACTGTGGGTGTTAACTATGGCCGCTTAGCCTCAAAGCTTCCTTCGCCTGGGGAGGTTGTCGAGCTTGTTCGATCTCTCGGGGTGACAAAAGTTAAGATCTACGACACTGATGCGACCGTTTTGCAGGCCTTCGCCAACACAAGCATCGAACTGACAGTCTCGGTTCCTAACAACGATATACCGGCTCTTGCTACAAACATCAGCACGGGCCAGAACTGGGTGAACAGCTCCATATTATTGTTTTATCCGCAGACGAAGATCACAACTATCTTGGTTGGCTACGAGGTGTTAACGGCTGGACAGCATATTACGCCATATCTCCTTACTGCTATGGAGAACATACATTCGGCTGTTGCTACTCTAAAAATCGACTCACAGGTGAAAGTCTCTACTACTCACTCGCTAAACATTCTCAACATGACTTCTCCGCCGTCGCTATGCTCCTTCGACCATGAAGCAATCGTCAGACCTTTGTTACAGTTTCTATCGAAAACGGGTGCTCCCTTTATGGTTAACATTTACACTTTCTCGACGTTTCAGCAGGACAAGGGTCGGAACTTTCCCGAGTCATTCGCGTTGCTGAAACCCACTGGCTTCGTGGTCGTCGATCCCATTTCCAGGCTACGGTACGAGAATTTGTTCTTGGCTCAGCTGGACGCGGTTTACTCGGCAATTGATAATTTCGGTTTCAGTGACATACAGGTGACTGACTCCTTACGGTTTGCAAATCGTCTAAACTTGTGACAGTCCTTGTTCCAGGTGGCTGTCTCCGAGACTGGGTGGCCGTTCACTGGAAAAAGTGGAGCAAGCGTTCGCAAGTCAAGGTCTTACAATCAACACGTTGCAAGGCTTTGTCTCTCGGGTGCGGGGACCCCTCTGGTCCGTGACAGACCGATCGAAGTGTTTATCCACTCGCTGTTCAACGAGGATTTGCAGCCGTCATCACTGGGTACTTTCGGGCTTTACTTCACCAACAAGTCGAGGGTGTTTGACTTCGATACTCGCACCTTGCAGCCCTCGAAGTAAGTTCTATGATCAAATTTCTTTTTTAGGCTTCTTCTCTGTTGAATGAAGACTCGAGGCTTTTATTGTCAGCTGAAACACGTCACAGTGACTTCGAGAATGCTAAATTGTCTCGGTTGGTTTGCTTCACACCATCGATCTGTCAGTGACTCATACGCGGAATGCCTGCGTGTTTCCTTGACAAGGATCATCATCCAAATGCGACTTAAACTCCGGCATAGGCGGTTCGAGGCACATATATCGATAAGCTCTGGCATATCTTTCAGTCGAACAAGCAATGGCCTCCGGATCAGCCATCATCAGCTTTTTCCTGCTATCACTGGCTCTCGTGGCAAACGCAGCTGATCCAGATCCAGTTCTCGACTTCTGCGTCGCCAACAACAGCAGCAGCGGCTCCTCGGGATCATGCAGAAATCCTTCGGCAGTCACCGGCCAGGACTTCGTGTCCGAGATCCTCAGGAACATGAACAACACGCAGGGTCCAAACACCTTCAACGCAACTCTGGCGTCAGTTTCAACGTTTCCGGGCCTCAACACGATGGGTCTCTCGATCGCGAGGGTCGACTTTGGCGTCGGGGGTGTGGTTCCGACTCACGTCCATCCCAGAGCATCGGAGCTCGTCTACGTCGCGGAGGGGACAATCTCGGCCGGATTCGTGGACACCAACAACGTTTTGTTTGCTCGGACGCTCCAGAGAGGTGACTTGATCATCATTCCCAGGGGTCTGCTCCACTACCTGTACAACGTTGGCAGTGAGCCTGCTATTGCGTTTGTGGTGTATAACAGCCAGGAGGCTGGACTCCAGCTGCTGGGGCCGAGCTTGTTTGGATCAGAGATCCCCACTCCAGTTCTTGCGTCGTCGCTGTCTCTCAATGAGAGCACCATCGCTGCCTTGCGAGGAATCTATGCTCCTTCCTCTTGAATTTGTTCGTAAACATGCGTTGAGTAAAGATTCGCTGCTGCATTTGTGCTTTAAGTTTCTTTGTTTAAACTCTTAAATTGCACTAGATTTTCATTGATTCGTTTTATCTATAAATAACACGGCACATACGTATGGTCCATATGATCGTTTGTTTTCAATTGAGTACTATTGCACAATCTGTGTTCCTTCCGTTTGAACGAAAGCGGAGATTGCAGAAAACATCGGCTGGGTACGGTGCGTTCTTGTGAGACCTATGAATTACAAAGTCCACCAAAATGGTTAGACTTCCAGGAAATCCCTCTAGGGGGGTTCCAACGTTCATATGTTGTGCTCCAGATCCAAGGCGCGCCAACAAAGCCACCCGAAACTGCTATTCAAACTTCAAGGAATCTCAAGCGATGCCGTCTGGCTGTGCAAATGGATATCCTAGATCGGGTTACCAGCAGTGGTCCTAGAGACAAGGCCCTTGCTTGGCAAGCTTCTGTCAGTGCTCCAGCACCACGCGATTCTAGCAGCGCTAGGCCAAAATTTATGCAATCCGTGGCCTGGTACAAGCATGCATTTGTCACCAATCCAGTGGATGATTATGACAATGCAGAGAATGCTTTTTGACTACTGGTGCTATGAAATGGAGGCTTCTAGAAATTCTTTGTTGGCTTATGATTAATTTTATATTTGTAATCCTAACCTTAACCATTTAAGAATCTACTGCATTCTGTTTATTTATCACTCCACATACTACTTTTTCTCTTTGATGGATTTCTATTCTTTTCTTGATTTTTAGGTTTACAAAGTATCATCACTACTTTATAAGCTTTAAATATTGTTGTCTTTGATTGAACTATGATTTCTCTTAACTTCAAAGTCCAATGTGTAATTATGGTGAATTAATTAATGGTTTAGAGTAGCTTGATTTATAAATCTTTCTTACTTTTTAATATATCAAACATAGGATAAATTATATGATCGATATCATCTAATAATTAGCATATTATATAGCAATAGTCTTTCATAGAGAAAACACCAAATGACAATTAGAAAATGAAGTTAGATGATGCTAATAAAATACTACATTTTTATTTTTCTTCTTGCTCTTTCAGTATAACTATTAGTTACACTATGTTTAAGTACATTACACTATTATAAATTTATTATATTTTTAAAAAATTGATTTTACTATTTATGAAAAAAAACCATTTTCAAAATATGTATAAATAAACTTTTTAAACTTTATATTAGCACACAGTTACATTAAAATGTTATTTGTTTGCCTAGGTTGTTGCCTTTAAAAAGGAAACAAAAGATTTTTTCATAATACAATAAGTAAATTAATTTTAAATAAAATTAAAAAATTTATTAAAATTTTAATTCATAATTAAATAATTTAATAGTATTATATTTTATATGCTCAAAGAAACCTTCAAATGACCAACTATTCCATCTATAATCACTTTTTGTTATATTTTTTGCTGGACCTTGAAAAATTAAAATTTGATATGCCTCATCATTTATATAAAATGTTATTTTTTTATAATTCTGTTATCTCTTTAAATAATAAATATATTTTAAATATGCAACCCTAAAACCTAAACCCTAAACCTTTCTATATTTACTAACATTCATAAGATCTTTACTTAAACAAATATCAAAGAAAAATCATAAAAAAAAATTAAAATCAAAATATATACACCATACTATTAACTAGTTTTCTATAAAAATAATATAAATTTAAGAAATAAACTGCTTACACAAAATGAAACTACAGATAGATTAAAAATGAAAAATGTTATCGTGTGAGCTATTGTTGCTAGCTCAAAGGCTATTAGCAACTTAGCATGTGAGGTTTAACTATGCCGAGAATATTTTAAAGATGTTCTTTTTGTCTGAAAACTTAAATCATGTGAGACATTGGTCTCATACCGAGACTCGAACTTGGGCTCTTGTCTTTTTATCTCCAGGGAATCGAACTAGGTCTGATGTAGCGGTGCCCCCCCCCAGACACTTCATTTCTGATATAGCACGTCTGCTTTGCCATGCCCTCAACCGTTGCTGCGTCACTGTTTAGCATCCTAGCTGCCCGAATCAATGCTGCCCAGTACTGTTGCACGGACTCCTCTCTTGAATTTGTGATCCCTCATCGTGAGGAAGGCACGTTCAGCAGGCTGTCCAAGCTGGAAGAGGCAGCGGCCACGTTGAATTGCCTCCTCCCAAGATTCCTCTTCAACTCCACTCCGATGGGCCATAAAAAGTCGTTGCGCTTCCCCTTCCAGAGCCATGCATAATCTCTCTCCCTGCCACTTTGTTGTTGTGTGCTGCACACTTGAAAATCTCCAGATAGAGCTCAAAGTCTTCTCCCATTTTGTATATAGGATACTTGACGTGAGCCAATGACGAAACTTCTGGGCAGAAAAGCTCCTTTCTCGTTGTAGCATTTCCCGCTACTACTAATCGCCATGTGACCTGGGGGTCCTTCAAGAGTGCAACGTCAGCATTCTCCAGCAGCCTCTTAGTGGTTGCCTCCACTCGTGGTTCCTTAGACAGCTGGTCAGACGCATCCTCCCTTTCCCTGAGCGGAGTGGAGCATTCGAGTCCCCTTCGTGGCCAGATGCCGATCCTCGTGTCAGTGGAGATGCCATGCTTTCAGTTCATGCCAGACGAGAAAGGCGCCATGGCCCAAGCACGTCACTAGCACCAAGGGTAGATCACCAAGATCCCCCCACCACTAGCCGCCTCGGCTCAGCTCATTCCTCATCACTTGATCCCCCCACCACTGGCCTCCTCGGCTCAGCTCATTTCTCAGCCCTGGCTGGATGTATGGCGGCTCCAACCTTTGGATGCCATGCCTTGTGACCAAACCTCTTGGTCACACTGGCTGTCCTAGCCAGGAAAGTCCTTTTGGCCATGCATGTCCTCCACACAAGCATGTTACTGCGCAAGCCCTCATGCTCAAAATTTTAGTCATGCCAGAAATGGAATTGAAAAAGGAAAATTCATATAAACCCAGCCCATATGTGATGAGGTGCCCCTCACCTCCACCATATGGGCATACGAGGCTTACTAGAGTCCACACTAGGTCAAAGCCCTTACTGTGCTCAGATCTTGATCACCCTTGCTTGTCACACCATTCCCAAGCCAATCCTCCTTCCAACCCTAGCTCCCACCATGTCCTTTATCGCTGCCCTGCTGCATCCCAAGAAGTCCGCTGCTGATCTGCCGCCCGATCCTCTCCCTGCCACGTCAGATCTCCTTGCTGAGTCATCCCTCCACGTGTTTTGCCTCACTTTGTTATACGGGCTCGTTATTGGCCGCTACACCGATGCTAGGGTTCTAACGTTCATGTGTTGGGCTCTCGACGAACAATGCCGAGCGTCCCGTCCATTGCTGAGGAGACCGTCTGCGAGATCAATCGCGATTTCCTCACTCGCGCCCAGCAGCAGCAGCCGCAGCAGCAGGGCGGCGATGTTTCATCCAAGGCGCATGAGCAGTACAACAAGGTCCTCAACAGAGTCTTCCCCAAGCTGCTGTTCAAGGTTGGAACGATCCCGATCGCCGACGACAATGGCAGCAATGGGATTGCTGCGCAGATGGATATTTCGGCGCCAGGAGGATCTCTCGAGGGGGAGGAAGAGGATCTGGTTAGGGCGACTGCAGCAGCGGTGGAAGAAACCCTAGACGAGGCCCTCGGCGAGCCTCTGTCGGCGCTCCAGCGCCTCGGATCTCTCTTCTACAGGGGCGAGAAGCGCGATTCCAGCAGCGCCAGGCCGAAATTTCTCCAGTCCATGGCCTGGCACAAGCACAAGCTCCTCCTCGCATTCGTCGCCAATCCAGCGCACGTCCTAGTGGTGGATTACGACGACGCCGACGCCAAGAATCCCTTTCTTCTTGGCCATGAAACCCAGCAGCGCGGCGTGGAAGCGATCGAGTGGAGACCAAACTCGGGCTCGATTCTGGCCGTTGGATGCCGCGGTGGAGTTTGCCTGTGGACGGCATCCGGTGCCACGCCACCTTTGAGGACCGGGGCTGTGGTGCCTCTCGTCTCAGCGGCTACGAAATGGAGCCTGGTGGATTTTTTGCGCTGGGGGATCGATATGCCCGTCTCGGCTCTCTCGTGGAGCCCCTGTGGAAGGCTCTTGGCGTGTGGATCGAGCGAGACGCCGACTTTCGCAGTGTGGGACGTCTCTCTCGGGGAGAGCACGCCTCTGCGACGAGGAATGGCCGGCGTCCAGTTCATGAAGTGGTCGCCGCTGGGGGACTACTTGCTCACGGCCAAAGTTGACGCGTCGTTTCATCTCTGGGAGACCATGACTTGGACGTCCGAGCCGTGGGCCTCGGCTGGTGGAGCTCTCGTGGGCGCGGCGTGGAGTCCCGATGGCCGGATGATCATGGGTGCTTTTGATCAGAGCAGCACGCTCGGGACTTTACACTTTGCTGGGAAGCCTCCGTCGCTGGAGGTGCATTTGCTGCCTTTGGGACTCTCGGAGATAGAAGCGGTTTGTGGACCCGGAGGAAGCATTGAGAGGATGGCTTGGGATGGAACAGGGGAAAGGTTGGCGGTGTCGTATACAGGTGGTGATGCTGTATACTCTGGTTTGATCGCCATCTACGACACGAGGAGAACACCGATCATATCAGCCTCGTTGCTGGGATTTGTGAGAGGTCCAGGTGCTGGTGCGAAGCCTCTGGCTTTCGCGTTTCATGATAAGCTCCGGCAGGGAGCTTTACTGGGCGTTTGCTGGAGCACGGGCTTCATCTGCGTCTATCCTATGCTCTTCAGGACGGGCATGTAGAGTCGTATATCATCGAGCGAAGATATGAAGGGAGGTGAGCATTCGTTTTTACTGTTTGCATCGAAACATTTTTGAAATGAGCATTTTTCAGTCCTCGTCATTCTCGTCTCCGGTTTGCCGTGCCTGGTGCTTGTCTAACTGTTCCTGCAGATTAGCAATCGTGTCTACCAGCTTTGCATACTCCTCATGAGTATGTTTTCTGGCCGTTTCCTTGATTTTCTCCCAGATAGCTTCGTCGTAAGGGACTTCTTTTGCAGCTATCTCCGTTCGCAGCAGGGTCACGGCTCCCTGAAGATCTTCCAGCTGCTGCTGTAAGGCCATTTGTTCCCGTTGAGATTGCTGATTCTGTTTGTTTGCTTCTGCAGCCTCGGCTCGAGCCCTTCGCAGTAGCTCGTTCTTCTCTGTCAACCTTAGCCTGGCATCCTCGACTTGCTTCTTTATGTCCTGGAAGTTGTCCTCTACCGCGTGTAGCTTGGACGTTACTGCCTCGCATTCTTGTTGAAGCTTGGTCAGGCCTTCCTGGTGCTCCATCACCATGGAACCGTAGCTCTCGATGTCGTCCTCTAAGTCTTTTTTTACTCTTTCAATCTTTTCTAGTGCTTCTTTCATCTGGCTCTCGGATTTCTCCATCTGCGTGATCTTTATGTGTGCGATTGTCACCTCCGTCTTGTACTGGTCCCTGAGCTTTCTGGCTTCCTTGAGATCTTCCTCGGTGCGTTCTCTTATCATCCTTTCAAAGTTAAGCTGGCCAGTCGTCGCGTTTAGCATCTGGTTCACTCTCTTTTGCACTTCCTCCTCGGTATAGAGCTCACCCAACGCTTTTGTTGCTTCAGAGAGCAGAGAGGAGATCTTTGCTTTGGGATTTATCCCGTAGAACATCTTGGTGAATGGAGAGCCGATGGAGTTTTCAGAAGGAGGCGGTGGCGTTGGTGGCGGACATAGCTGAGGTGGCGGCGCTGGCGGCGGCGGTACTGGTGCAGTAAACGCGCTCTTTACTGTCGGTGCGAACAGCGGAGCAGTGGCTGGTCTGGCCAACTTCGGAGAGCTGACGTTGGTGACGACGGACGAGGGATTCAAGTCGATTGCGTCGAGAGCACATTTCACGTCCACCTTCTCGCAGGTACTGATTGGAATCGCCACTGGTCTTTCCGCTGACGTCTGGATCGCTGATGGAATGGCAGTAGCAACCTCCAGGACATAACTCCGTGGAACCGGAGCTATGGTCGGAACGGGGCTCTTGACGACCAGAGGCTCCGCCGGATTCACCTCTTGGTCTTGCAAGGCATCGAAGATATGGGTGATGAGAGGGCCAGCACCGAAGACAACAGTGTTGTTCGCCTTCTGCTTCATCCTCCGCAGCTCCTTGAGGATGTTCTGGAACATATACTCGGACCAGTTCACCTTGAATCCTTGCAAGCCTTGGGCGATGATCTCGACCAAGTTCCGGGACGTGTAGCCGGAGCTCACTCTCAGCTGTATCACCTCCGCGATCAACGAGAAGATTGGTGCCAGCGAAGGGTCCACCAGCTTGTCGTGCCTGTATCCCAAGTCCTTTTGGTAAGCGCCTTCCTTGAAGAGCATCACCTGGTCGCTGTTCTCAAACGATCGCTTGAAGCTGAGGACGCCCTCGTAGGAGAGCTTGAAGCGCTGGGAGATGAGGTTTGCAGTGAAACACACTCGTTTCCCCTTGACCACCGTCTGGTTTGTTTTCAGGTTGTAGTTGGCCACGAACTCCCGGACAAGCGAGACGCAGGTGACGTTCCACTTGACATCCGCGAGGCTGTGGAGGCCGAGAGTGGTGAGGAAGTCCATCCGGGGGCAGCCTTGCTCGAGCCAGTAGGAGGCGGCAATGTAAGTCCGGAACTTCAGATTTTTAGCTACTGCGTACCCAATGACATCGGCAGAAGTGGAAGAAGAAGAAGACGGTGGTGGTGTGGCCGTGAGTGTGGGAGCCGCCGCCGGCAGCGGAAGGACTAGAACTCCCCTCGTCCTGAGCTTCTTCTTGGCGGCGCCGTCTTCCTCCTCGTCACTGGCGGCGCTGGCGGCAAGCGGCGGCGGCGGCGGTCGCTTTGGAGGCATGGTATGTGGATTCCTTGAAAAACTCTTGCTGCGAATCTCACCACTTGGATTCCAGGAAACAAGGATGTGAACGGAGGAAGCCACTCACTCGCAAACAAGCTATGTGGATTCCTTGAAAAGCTCTTGCGGCGAATCAACGATGTGAGCCGAGGAAGCTACTCACTCGCAAACAAGCTACCGCTCAAAGATCTACATCCTCAGAGCATTGTAATAATTTCTTTTCCCAGGAAACAAGGAGACTTCCTTCCAGGGACAGGGAATCTTAAAGCTCCAAGGCCGAGCTCCTTGCTTCCAGGCCCAGACCCTCCCAAGAAATGGATATGCTCAAGGAAGACAAGTGCTATAGCGGTGGAGATGCCATGCGACGGGATCTTGGTGGAATATGCCCGTGACAGAGGCAGGGGATCTTTTTCTTGTGCAAGGCAAACGATTCTCCGCCGGATGCTCGCCACGTGCTCGGTGCGGATGCGTCGCGTTATCACGCGTTTGAGTCTGTGCGGATATGCCACGTCCGCGGCATCTCGCATTTAATGATCTCCTAACCGTACGATTCCCAGGGGATATTCTTGATTCACACGAAGATTCTGTTTAAAATGGACAAACTTTACGAGAACTCGAGGAGCTTCTGGACTTTGAGCTGGGCGCTTTTTAAGTCCTTGTCCGCAAGATCCCGGTGTTGTAGCAATGAATAAACTTCCTCGAGTAGTTTTTGCTTTTCCCGTGAATTTGACGAATGCCGAGAGCTCATCTCATCTTCAAATGCGGCAGCCTTTTCCGCGGCACGAGCCACGCATGATTCTGGAACCTGGATTGCAAGAAAGAGGAGCAATCTAGAATGAACAAGAGAAAACGAGCATACCTTTGCCAATCGAGCAACGTTTATGCCAAAGCTTCTGCTCGCTGCGCCGGGCTGGAGCTTGTAGAGGAACGTCACCTTTTGTGCCGCTTCTTGCACGGAGCTTTTGTCAAGGTCTCCTTCCGGGCTCTCCGCAAGATATGACATATGGTATGCTTGAACCCGGCCGGGAAAGAGCTTCACCACCTCCGTGACGTTCAAGTAGTGAGTAACGAAGAGCGTGAAGCATTGAACCTCTTGGAGAAGGTGATGGAGCGTCGCATACGCGATGGCGACGCCGTCGTGCGTGCTGGTTCCTCTTCCCAGCTCGTCGATGACTACCAGCGAGCGAGAAGTTGCCTTGTGGAGAATAGTTGAAGCTTCGCTCAGCTCCTCGAAAAACGTACTGGAGCCCCTCTGGATTCTGTCCATCGCCCCCATTCTCGTAAACACGGCATCAAATACATGCAGTTTGGCTGTCGCGGCTGGAACATACGATCCTATCTGCACGATAACAAAACATACGGAGTGAAAAGAAATAAAGATAGTTGCGAACCTGGGACATGATTGTGATTAGAGCAACTTGACGGATGTAGCAACTTTTACCACCCATGTTTGGACCAGTGATTATTTGCGATCGTTCACCCTCACCAGAAAGAACTGTGTCATTTGGTACAAATGCATCTTGCAGAGTCGAATCTAGGACCTGCTCACGGAAAGAAATTCCAGTAATAATATTAAACGACAAGAGCAAAAGAAACAAACCGGATGTCGACCACCTTCTATCTTCAAAAGGCACGCTTCATCCACGAACTCCGGTCGAACATACCCCTGAAGCACATTTTTCATTCAGATAAGCGTTGAAAAACACAAGGAGACAGACCTGATTGCACGAGACAACAGCAAGGGAATAAAGACAGTCGAGAGCTGCTAGTGCCTGTACTGCAGCCCGGAACTCCATGTGATAGGAGGTAAAGTCAGTGAGGAACATGTCCCATGCTTTGGCGCAAGATATATTTAATTGCTCCTTTGCAAGTGCCATTCTTTCCGATGCTTCCAAGACCTCCGGAGGATGATAGCGGTTTGCCTTTTTCGTACTGTTTATTTTAACCCAATCTGCAGGTACACGCTGCGCACATGGAACCTGAAACTACAAGCTTTTAGCAATCAAATAACTGAATTGAGAAAAAGAAAGTACCTCGACCAAAAACGACGTTCCCGAGACGCTCAAGTATTCCAGATTTGAACACTTCAACAGTTTCCGATAACTGGGAAGAAAACTTTCGAGATCCTCCTCAATACTTTTTATGTTCTCTTTGCATTCGTCTACCTGAAACACGACTTAAACGAAGTCTGGGAAACGATAACAAAACCTCGGGAAACTGGCCGGCAACAAATAAGTTAATCTTATCCCCAGCAGCTGCTGCCTCTGCATTCAAACTTGTCACAAGCTTGTTTGCGTGATCTATCACTGAAGTTGAAGTCACTGCGGAGATTAGCCTGCTGAGGAGCGCAGACCTGGCGTCGCGAACCCGTTGAAACTGCGACGCTGCTTTCATAATCGCATTAATCACGTTAATGAACTGCAGCAAACATTACGGTCAGAAAGAATAACAACAGGATTACAGAAAAGGAAAGGTGCCTCATACGTTGCTGTTTTGTGATAAATTCTTGTGATACCACGCTCAAGATCAGGCAATTTTCCCAGCAGCAACAACGTTGAAGCTAAAGTTGCAACTGTTGTACCTCTGCCTTTATCTCCAATGGATTCGGCAATTTCCGCAACGGCGTCTAAACGTTGAGAAATAAGCATGCGGTCTCTTAACGGATGGGTCACCTGAAAATAGACATGAATGAAAAAACGAAAAATCCAAGATTGTGACTGAGACCAAACTCCTTACCCAATACTTAAGCAGCCTCGCGCCAAAAGCAGTTTTTGTGTGGTTCATAAGCCAGAATAAACATCCGTTTTCAGTACCATCAGTTTGGTTATGTAGAATCTAGAAAGAAAAAAATTGTTACTGGCAAGTACACATCGCATTCAGTGATTACCTCAAGCTGGCGGATGGTATTGGGCGAGAGCGTCATCTCTTGCTGCCCGGCAAATGGTCGGAAAAGAGCTCCTAAGCGCAATACATTTTCCAGATTAAACTGCTTCAGGTAAGCAAATATATGCGCAAACGCAGCAACCACGATTTCTGGCATCGTCATCAACGCCTGCAAACTTCAATTCTCATCCGATAGAGTAATCAAGACAACTAGAAAATTACCTCTAGCCCTCCATCAACCTTCTCGTCCAGACAGCCTTTCTTAGAAGACGCCAAGCTCCCGTAGAAGTCCGCAAGAGCAGCAACGGTACCGCCATTGTCAAACGAGTTCTCAGGCGTCTTCTCGACTCGAACATCCGCTGCGCCTGCATAGTCCATCAACAACTATAGAAAAATCACCATCATTCATATACAACCCGATCAGAGAAAAAAAAAAGCTTACCTTCTTTGTAGAAGCGGACAAGGACGCAGATAAAAGAAGTTCTGCGGGAGCACACGCAAGCAACCGTGATTCCAGTTCCGTCCTGGTGACAGTGTCCATAAAGTGACCATACATCACGTCTCCGGTCGAGGTTTCCACGGCCACCACCCCAAATCTAGCATCAAAACTTCCCCTCACTTCGTCCTTTCCAGCGTTGGCCTTGTGCTCGGTGATTGCCTCCTCCACAACACACATGATATAGCTGCTAAGACGAATAGGTCCATCCCTTTCCCCGCTCTCTTCTCCCCCAAGAAACTCCCCGGCCTCGAGCGTGGCCTTGGTATATAGCGCCGAGAGATCTCTCGAGAACGGGCCAGCCTTGTTCGTCCCGTGAGCTTTGATAGCCGCTGTCTCGGTCTGCTTGACAACGCCAACTTTGTAGCCAGCTTCCACAAGCCTTCTCACATGTACGTGCAGCCGGAACGTTGGAACGCTGGCAGTGAGAAAGTTGTGGCTGTAGTAAGCAACGATTCCCAAAACATTGGCTGCTTTCTCCGCATCCTCTCCGAAAAATCGAAACTTGTATCCCACCTGGATGTCTGGGAATTTCTTCTTGAGCTCCACAATCTGCTGCTCCAGAGGAGTAAGCTTCTCCTTCACTGACGGCGGCTTTCCATAAAAGGAGGAATTTCCACCACCGCCATCCCTGTCCCCCTCTCCAAGAAGAACATCTACACACTTTCTGCGCCTGTCTTTAATCGCTTCCCCCGATATTCTGCAATCGAAAAATTGAAACTTTGTATCCCACCTCAACAATGAGAAGAGTGTCTAGAAATTTCTTCCTGAGCTCCACAATCTGCTGCTACAGAGGAGTAAGCTTCTCCTTTCCTGACGGCAACTTTCCATCACAGGAGGAATTTCCATTAGAAGCATCCTGTCCCCAATAACATTTACAAAATTTCTATACTTGTGTGCTTGCTTTAGATGTAGAAGCCAGGTTGGGGTATTGATTGGCTGCATTCTCAGCTGGTCGTTTAAGATGACACGGCAATCATTCTTGAAAAAGTTGGTGGCGGCAGTGATTAGTATATTTATTATAAGATTCTTATTTTATTTTATTAGAATAATATTATTTGTAGGTGAACCATATATTATAGCTTACTTGCTACACTAAATTTGAGAGGGAGATGGAAACTCTTTGGCTAACTATTTTCCTGTTGCATTTGTTAGTTATTATTGTTAGGTATTGCAAGAGTGAAATTTCTACAATATTTATCTTAGACTCATTGGTAGATTATAGAAATAATAATTACATTTTAAACACTTATGCAAAGGTCAATTTTCCTCCCTGTGAAAGAGAATTCCTTAGTGGAGCAAGAAGGAAATTTTCAAATGGAAATCTCATTCTTGATGTGAATAAAGTGTTTAACTTTGCCCATTTGCAACTCCATATTTGAATCTTTAATTAAGTCAACCATTTTTATCACCCACAAAGAATATATAGCAAGGTGTAAATTATAGAGATGTTAGATGTGGATTGTTCAATACTACTGAAAATACATTTTTAATTTTGTTTAAAGATAATTCCTTTAATTTTTAATTTTTATCAAGAGAATTTTAAAATTATCCATGACCTATCTATCTACAAGTGAATTTTTTTATTAAAGATAAATATATATTCATATCTCAAATTGGTCTAAATGCAACATTAAACATTATAAATAAGTCTATATTTTACATAACATATGGATCTAATGATATAACTAATAGATATTATGAACCTGGTTCTTTTGTGCCAAGTCAATACATAATTTTAGAGTTTTTTGTCATTTTGATGCAATTTTATGATACTCAAATTTGGATAAATATAATTCATAGCTTTAAATTATTTTACAACCTTTTTATTTATGTTATAAGTCTTATATCAAGAAGAAACATTCAAAATTGTG